GTTTATTATAAAATTTTCTAAAATTTATTTATTCTTAATAAAAGATGTGCATTTTCAGTATGGAACTAGAAAATTTCAGGAGGTTACTGGTTATTATTATTGTGCATTTGAAAAACAAACAAACAAACAAACAAAAACACACACACAAAAAAAACAACAACAGTGAAAGAGTTCTTATTTTAAATTTTCAATTTTGTTAAGGATACTAGTTTGGGATAATAGACAGCTCATAGGCTTCAAATGAGCTAACCATAGAGCTTCCCAAATTATTGATACCGGCCAATCCTAGATATTTTGAACAGACATTTTGCTGTTGACCCTGGGAAAAAATCATGGCGAATGATTTTTTGGGTATGTATGGAAGGCAGTTATCTAATTATTAAGAGGTGCCAATGTAATATGTATGACTTTTCAGAATAGCATAAAAAATAAGCTTGTTTAGTGTTGTAAACTTGGAAGATTAATGCAACTGCTGCTCTAGTATTTTAATTTCTTTCAGAAGTCTAATTCTGCTTTGCATAACATTCTAAGAAGTTATGTAGGTTACAAAATTAGTGCAACACTTGGGCATTAAAATGATTTAAATCAAACGTCTTTGAGAAAATTCAAATAAATATGCCTAGACAAAAAAAAAAAGTTCTTGTGAGAGTTTGCTTGAATAGCTATTGGCCTACTGCTACTGCTATAGTGTATCTTGGCTTTTGACAGTGGGTATTTTCTCTAAGCATGGGAGAAATATGTTAGTTTGCAACCATATCCACTAACTTCTTTATCCAGTTAAGCATATGTAGCAATCCAGTGCCTTTCAACATTTCTATTCAGTAATTAACACTCAAAAGCAAACCATGTTTAATTCCAGTAAGGAATGTGACTGTGTATACCATATTTTCAAAGGTATTGTTTATAGAAAAATAATATATGGACGGCAAGAGAAGGCTATAAGGAAAATCATTCAGGAACCTCTTGGAAAGAGTAGTATCTGTGAAGAGACTTGGGAGTATCGGCAAAGAAACTGCCTTCTGCTGCTGCTTTCTCTTGTGCTTAGGGCAGTAGAAGACTGTTTTCTGAAAATAAATAGGTTGCTTTCCAACGGAAACAACTTGCAAGATCTGGAATATTACCAACTATCTCGTGTAATGGGATGACACGATAAAAACATCACTAAGAAAGATAGCAGATGGTGTAGTTGTAGTTGTGTATAGCTGATCCAATGTCATTGTGTACAAAGTTGTTTGTAATACCTATTACATTTTCTTTTGTGTTTTTTTTTTTTTTCCTTTATTTTGATGTTAAATAAAACCACAGCACAACACTGGTGAGCAATTCGCTATGTATGATAGGCAACTATGATTCTAAAGGGACTGGCTGGTGTGGGTCATCACAGAGAGAAGTACACGAACTCTGTTATACTGAGAAGAGCAAAAGAAGTTAGGTGTCTTTTGAAAGTGTAAAGAAAGAACTGAATAGGGCAATGATCAACAATCAGATTATTAGCAATGCTTTGCCTGGTGCTTGTGTCAGAAGGGTTGAATGCTGGAAAATCTGTGTGATGCATTTGAACGCAAATGTAATAAACTCAGTTTCATTTCAGACAATAATTTCATTTCTTAGTATAGTCTCAAGAAAATATCAGAGGCTTAGCACCTTGTTGAAAGCCTTTGGAGAAATGAGTGCCATCAAATCAGTAGCTCAGTTTCGTGCCATCATAAGAAGACAATCTTTTAAAGAGATGGCTGCCTTGGAGAGAGAATATTCAAAACTGGAAAAGCACAGGAAAAAAATAAAAGGATAAAAAACAACCGTGGTGATTTGCATAAAGGTGATTTAAGGACAGAGAGAAAAAAGTTTGGGTTAAAACTGTGGTCTGCAACAAAAGTTTTTGTCTTGTTGCAACTAGTCTGTGCACTGGCTGAAAACACGAAACGTATTGCTGTGCTTTAGGTTTAAAGCCCCCTCTCCTAATGTGATTGTAGTGAGAGAAATATGTACTGCATTTCAGCCTTTATAGTACCACAGAACATGCATTTCAAAGACTCTGAACAGAGAAAAAGAAACAAAGGAAAACCAACCCATTTCAACTTCCTCGCCTTTTTATTTTGTCCTGATGTTGCTTGCACTTCACTACAAAATGAGGAATATGCAAAGACAGTGTTACTACCTTGTCATTCTGAATCTGTTTTTAAGACTAATATGCAAAGACAATGTTAATACATTGCCATTCACAATACAATTTATTTTAAAACTAATACTTTTTTTTTTTTTAAGGGGGGGGGTATTCAATTTGAAACATGGTGTGTGCAATAAAGTGTCAGGATTGCAGTCACTGTTCATCATCAGGCCGAAGGAGAAACATAATGCAAATCAGAAGTCCTTTTCCAGGGTGACATTACGTGGAGACTGGATTACTTCATGCTCTGATGACCTGATAAAAGCACCTTTGGAGGGAATTCGTGTGAACATGTCATAGACATGGCGTGAGGGGACAAAGTCACCCTAAAGCAAGGCCACAGGGAAGAAATGTGCGTGCCAAGGGGCAGCATAAGAGCCTCTCAAGAAACAGGCTGCCCAGGGAAGTGGTGGAGTCACCATCCCTGGAGGTCTTGAAAAGACGTTTAGATGTAGAGCTCAGTGATATGGTTTAGTGGAGGACTGGTTAGTGTTGGGTCAGAGGTTGGACTCGGTGATCTCGGAGGTCTCTTCCAACCTAGACGATTCTGTGATTCTGAGATCTGAGGAACCAGGGGCCACCAAGAGCCGAGCACCCCTCACCACCACCCCCCTGCAGGCGGAGCGCCCGGCTCGCCCCACCCGGCACTCAGCAGAGCCCCGTGGCTCCTCGTGGGCCGCCCCGGGGCCGTGCCCCGTTATCTCGGCCGCATCCCTCAGGGGGTGCCGAGGGCGGGGGCCGGGCCCCAGCGCACGGAGCGGCGGGGCCCTGACGGGGGCCGGGCGCCTGCGCGGCGCCGCGCCCGCCTCCCGGTAAACAGCGCGGTCACGTGAGCGGCGGGCCCGGCGGGGGCGCGCCTACGGGGGGGAGCGGGCACGCGGCCGGCGGCGCCAGGCGGAGGAGCCGGAGCCGGGAGCGGGCAGCGGGGGCGCGGGCAGCGGGGCCGGGGGGAGGCGGTGCGCGCTCCCGCGGGCCCTGCCTTCCCTTGCGGCGCGGCCTCCGCGGCCTCTTCGTCGGCGGGCGGCGCGGCTCGGCTCGGCGCGGAGCGGAGCGGGGTGAGGTGAGTCACCGCCGGCGGGGCGCGGGCGATGGGGGCCGGGGGCGCCGGGCCTCGCGCGGCCTCCGCAGCACGGCCGGGCCCGGCAGGGCAGGGCAGCGCCGGGGGGGGCCGCGGCTGAGGCCTGGCCGGGCTGGGCCGGGCCTAGCGGGGCCCAGCGGCGCGGCTCGGGCCTTGAGGCCGCGTTGGGCCGCGGGGCCGGGCCGTGTCTCGGGGGCCGGGCCGGGTCCCGTCGCCCAGCCGCACGCAGCCCGCTGACCTTGCGCAGGCCGCGGCTGGGCCCTGAGCTCCGCGCCCGCCTCCCCACGGCCCTGTCTCGGGCTCCCAGCTCCGCCCGGCCGGCCCCGGGCCCCGGCAGCCCCGAGAGCTGGGGAGCAAGCGGCGGTTGGGAGCCAGCTGTTCCCCTGCTATTGGCCTGGCCTGCGCGGGGCTCCTCCTCCCGTCCCTCGCACTTCGCATCGTCAACGGGTGCCGTGGTTAACTCTTGTGTGGGGTACCCGCCGCGGGAGGCACGGCACAGGAGCCTGGGGGGGCCCTGGTGGCACCTCCATCCCGCCCTTGGGTGGCGTGGGCTCTCCAGGGCGGTCTGTCCACGCTTCCTCCTTGCTGCTGGAATGTAAATAATTAATGCCTATTGGGTTTAGAAGAGACATTGCTCATGTAACAACAAGTCTGTAAAGTAGGGGTACGTTACAGCCATGGCACGAGAGACTGGAAGAAGAGCACCCCATTCATTGTAGGGTGAACTATAGAAATGTTAAGAAAGGAGCGTGGAAGTTGGGAAGGGAACACAGGGACATGGGGTGACAAGTGTAGCAAGCAAATTATAGCTGTGGTGTTGTCCTTTATGGGGCTGTTAATCTCTTAGGTAAGTTCTGCGTGCTTGCTGTTGTAAAAGTTGATGCTCGTATTGCTAAACCAGGGAAATATTGTAGGATTATGTGTGAGGATTGTAAGCATGGCTTCTCTCTGACAACACTACTTCACAGCTTGTTGTGCTTAGGAAATTCATCTGGTAAGGTTTGGGAAATATACTATACGGGAGATCTTGAAATCCAGGATTTCAGGATTTCTTGGAATAATTTAACTTTGGTCTTCACGCTTAGTGTGCAGCTCACAACAAAGCTGGGCTCAGCTCTCTTCTTGCTTCATCACAAAGCTGCTACTTCTAACTTCAGTTCTGCTTTAAAGATTAGACGTAAATATGGAGTTCTAAACACCTAGATTTTTTGTTTCAACCATCATTTTCAGCTATTTGGCCATTTGTTTTATACGGGCATGTTACATTTGCAAATCCTCATGAATTTTACGTAGCTGGATGGAAGGGCATCTAACTACAAACAACTACAAACCATGCTGTCTGTATCTAATCCATTGTAGTTATCACAGTGGAAGCAGTTGTTAAGGTGTCTCTAAGAAAACAAAAGCTCAAAAAACTTGTGATTATCTACCATACTTCTGTGACCTCCTAGAAACTATTTAGAGTTTGGTTCTATCTCATGGCTTAAATGCTACTCATGTGCAAAGAGCATGTGTATGCTGTAAGGAATTATTTTAGCTGTTAGTTTAATGAGTCTGTAATTCTTTAATTTTCTTTACATTTTCTGTAATTCTTTAATTTTTTCTCGGGAACCTAAATACCGTTGAATCCAAGTCTTAAAAATGTTAAGGGAAGAGAAGTTATTTGTAGAAAACAGTAATCTTTCATTGTCTTGCCTTTTATGTCAGAAACATTGATGAGTAAGGGAATGTTTTTTGTTTTTTATTTTAAGGTAGCGTTATGAAGCAGAAATGCCAAAGTCCAGTAAACTGTGAGTGTTTATTATATAAAAGCAAATGAAAAATATGGACTGCCTGTGGCATGCACCTGAATGGTGTCAATGTGGGCACGTGGCAGATGTTATATTTCTGTGGAAAACCTGACCAAGCTTCACCATTAAGCATCTAGCTGATTTTGAAAAAAATAATTATGTGTTTCCAAATTAATCGTTATCAGAGAGGCACTGAAAAACTCAACAAGTGTCACAAATGAAATTATTCTGTCTGGGACTACTGACAAATAATCAATGTAACCTATTAGAAAGCTTAATGTTTATATAATGACCATGCTGAAAATTCCTAAAATAAGTAGTGAGTAATGTGAGGATGGAAAAGAGTTGAAGAACATACCAATAGTCATGGAAAAATAATCTGTCATTAGCTTTTTCTTTTCAGGGATACGTCCCTTCTTAGTGAGCTTACAAATTCTAGAGGCATATGGAGAAATGTGTACTCTCTGAGTGATACAGAGCCGTATAATCTTTGATTATTATTAGCTTTTGTGGGATTCACTGATGGGGTGGTCCGGTAAAAGAAAACAGTCTACTTCGTGAAATTAATTTGAAAGATGTCACAGTGTAAAGTCATTTCTGTGACAGAACATGACATCTAGTGCAGGTCTTTGTGCCTCTTCTAGCTGTAGAGGGAGAAGCGTGTTTTTGAGGAAAGGTTTTTCTGTGCAAAAGATCTGATTTTGTGTGATATAATTTGATTTTGTATGATTAGGAAAAGGTTTATCTCTCTCTTCCGCATTTCTTTGTCTTCTAATTTAATCCTTTTTCTTCCTGTTCAGTGAAATGAGTTACAGGTCTGGTAGTTGAATGTAATTCTTTCAGATAGTGAAGTTTAATAAAGAAAAATCTCGAGCTGTCTGACCTTCCATCAAATAATCTGTATCAAAGAGTAGGGAATCCGCAGTGTGTCAGTGAGGAGTACAGCACGCATCTTCAGATTATAGATTTTGGGATGTGGTTATTGCTTCAGATGTCAAGACCGCGGAGGTTTCAGTAACAGGATGGTAAGATCTGGGTCACTTGGTGTTTGAAGACTTTAGGGTAAGGGGAGGACAAGAAGAGCTACTAAGAGTTACATAGTTTTAAATGAGGAATTAAAATAATCAATAGGGAATTTGAGGGAGTGGGTGGTATATAGATACATAAGGGTGGACATTTTTGATGTACAGCTTTGTCAGTGTACCTGCAATGCAGCAATATTGATGTTACAAACACACATTTTGGTTACGTGCTGCTGTTAGGCAGGTCTTTGGTATGGTGTTCTGTTTGAGTGGCTGGCGAATTAGAAAGCGATCAAATTTGATTATCCTCAAAGGCCAAAGCTCAGGAAACCATATTCCATCCAAGCTTTGCATCTTTTTTTTTTTTTTTTTTTTTTTTTTTTTTTTTTAATAAAGGACACTGACATTTTCTTTACCAGTTCTGAATACGTTTTCTTTGGTTATATTGCAATTCAGATGCTCATAAATCAGAATTGCTTTTCCTGTCAGAGATGTTTTGTCAGGTCGTTTATTCCTTGATGACTGCCCTAGATGATGAATTTGAAACAGTGTGAACCAGAGTAGAAAGCACATTGGTGTGAGAGTTGTAAAGGTCCAGCATTGTTGCTGACCCTGCTGCTGGTGTATTGTCCAGTAATGGTTTCCTTTTGTATCCCATGGTGTGTTGAGGCTGTGAGCTCTGTTGGCTAGAATGCGCGTTACTACAGAGGACCTGGGTATTGGCTGTGACTTTTGGAGCTGTAATACCTGAAATTGTCAGAGTAAATACAGCTGCCAATGCTTAAGTATGGACACTTGGCAACCTCATTAATTTTCACTCAGGCGTTTGTGAGCATACCTGTTATGGTTCCACATTCAAGAAGGGCAGGAGGATGGCAGTAATGCTGCCTGTGTGCAGCGCCAGCACTTGGAGCAGTGCTGGTAGCTCTGGGGTCATGGGGTGCCTGGGGTGTGTTGGCATCTCAGCTCTGGTGAGCTAAGGCAGAGGTTTGGTATGCTGAATGCTCTTTTAGTTACAGTATTTAGCAAAGCACGCAGAAGAGGGATTCCTTTAATTGCGTGTGTAGTCAGCTAATTTCATGTCAATTAAGGTGCAATTTCCTTCTGTTTTGCTGGAAAGCTGCTTTTGTCAGTTGTACTATTGTACTAAAACGCAGTTGTGTTTTTGTCATGGTTTCTCCATGGCAGTGCAGTGCTAGCATTTCACATTTGTTTTTGATATCTAAGAAGCTATTTACCCAAACAGCTCTGTTCCTTTTGTATACTTTTCTGACTGGTGTTCTTAATAGTACTACTTGAAGGAATAAATATAATATGAAAAAACTGTTAACTTTCTGTGGAAATACTGAATTTTTTGCGAAGTCTAACTTTTGAGGACTTTCATAAACCAGACTTCTTTTAAATAAATCACTAGAAATACAGGGACTTACATTTTATATGCTTAAATTTAAAATATAAGCTAATTTATACAAGTCCTCTCCTGCATAGAGGAGGGAAGAGGGAAAGCTTTTTTTTTTTTTTTTTTTTTTTTGGTAGCTTTATCTGTGCTACACAAAGCAATATCATACATAAAGCAATATCTATTGCTTTATCTGTGGTCTAGCAAGAAGTATGTCTGCCTTTCATTGTCAGTCCCTGTGGGTTCTGTGCCTTGTGCTGATCTAGTAACGCTAAAGTACTTTTTCTAAACTTGGTATGGTACAAGGTGAACTTGGTATGGTACAAGGAATTGAACATCCGTTTCTTGAACCAAGTTTAGCAAAATTTTCATCCCAAGTACTTTACTTAATGCTCCTCTAGCTTTTAACAATTGTAGAACATCAATTTTTTAACTTACTAGGTTTTGTGATGGCAGGATTTCTATGTGAAACAACGTTGGTTATAACCTTACAGTGATCTTTTGATACAAAATTTGGATAGAACTTTATTCTTTTGGATAGATGTGGATAGAACTTGAGTCATGCTCCAGAAAAAAACTTTACAACAATTTTTTTCCTGAGTTTTCTCTGATAACTAGACAGATGTCAAGGCCACGCCTTGAGTATTGTGTTCAGTTTTGGGCCCCTTGGTACCAGAAAGACATTGAGGCCCTGGAGCGTGTCCAGAGAAGGGCTACAAAGCTGGTGAAGGGCCTGGAGCACAAGTCCTGTGTGGAGTGGCTGAGGGAACTGGGGTTGTTTAGCCTGGAGGAGAGGAAGCTCAGGGGAGACCTCATTGCTCTCAACAGTTGTCTGAGAGGAAGGTGTGGGGAGCTGGGGGTCAGCCTCTTCTCACAGGTGACTAGTGATAGGACCAGAGGGAATGGCCTCAAGTTGCACCACGGGAGGTTCAGGTTGGAAATTAGGAGACATATCTTCTCAGAAAGAGCAGGCAGGCATTGGTACGGGTTTCCAAGGGAGGTGGTGGAGTCACCATCCCTGGGGGTGTTCAAGGACGTGGTGCTTGGGAACATGGTTTAGTGGCAGGTATTTGTAGTAGGGGGATGGTTGGACCAGATGATCTTGAAGTTCTCTTCCAACCTTATGATTCTGTGATTAATTGAAGATGGCTGAGGCCATTCAATGTGTAGTTGTTTTGAGTTCTGTAAGAATGCATTTGGTGTTCTGGATGGCCGCGTGATGGGTCTTGCAAAACTGTAGGTGTTCTCTCCCCCCCTCCCCCAAGGAACATTGTAGAAGAGGTTAATTCTGTTGACAGCCTTGCTATGTATGAAGGGCTGCAGTTCTGCCAGAGCTTTTGTTACTTTGCAACTGCTCCTCATGAAGTGGATAGCGCTGCTTTGGTAACAGGCATTACATAAAGGTTCCCCTCCTATGCAGGAGACAAACAAACAAAGCCTTCTTGAGAAAGATTACTCTAGTTATATTCAAAGCTCCCTACCCTTCTCCCCCCCATTATATTTAATATATTTATATTATATTGTGCACAAAAAAGTTCTTCCAGTAATTTGTGAGTGTTATATCTGTGATGTCCGTGGTGAGGTTTGCCATCGGTTTGTCCTGTGCCTGTTACTCATGTGCTTGCATGACTCACATGCTTGCATGATGCTAATATGAAAAAAACACGGTCATTACAGGAGGCTGTTTTGAAGTACTGGCTTGTGGCATTTGCAATTATTTTCCTACTCTGAGCTACTCCAGCTCTTGTAGTTTATCCTGTGTAGTATCAGATTGTTGTAACTACATTGCCTAAGGTTAATAAAAGAGACTATTTAAAAGGGCACAGCACTTCCTCAGTTACAGTTTGCTACTTTGTTTGTTGCCAAATTTGGATATTATTTTGTGATCTGGGAGAAGAATATGGGCTGCTATACATGCTAGTTGACGTGGTATACACATAGATGCACTGCTTAATAACAAAAAAGTCTTTATTTTCTTGTAGGGAGTTTTCAAATACAACACGTTTCCTCCTGTAAGGCTGTTACCTTTGTAAGTAAAGGCACCTAATTTGGCCTCATTTTTTCTTCTTGCTGACTGTTCGGTCAGTAGGATGTTATGCACTAGACTATTTTCATCATGGTTAGTGTGTAGATACTGTAAAGACACCATGCTCTGCAGTGATATACCTGACCCCTGTTTCTTTCTGGACTGACAGATGGGAGAATAAAGACTGTCATGTTTTTAACAAAAAAAAATAATTTCATGCTCGTGTGTAGTTCATGCAAACTTGTGAAGTTGTAAAACTAAATTACAATAACAGGGTTGAAACTGGGACAAAGCACTTGAGTATGTGTATGGCTAGGATTTTCCCTGTTGGTCATTAAAACAGAAATATCCAGTTAATAAGTATAAGAAAGCGTACTTACTGCTGTACTAAGCGTAAGTAGATACTGGGTTCATTTAGCAGCAGGTTGCTGGAATGGGAATCTAGAAGCTAATTCAAGCACTGGAAGCTGTAAAACCCCCTTTTCTCCCTTTCCTTTAATTAGTGCATTCATTCAAAAAATAAAATCCTGTCTAGTGTGTGGGAGGCGGCTGATAGAGGAAGGAGCTGGAGAGAATTTGTGTCCTTGCAGAAGCATGAACAGCTTTGCATGTGCCAAAACTGGTCTCCTAGGCTCTCTAGATAATGCCAGGCACTGCTTCATTTTTATTGCACCCCAAAGTTAACATATTTATTATAATTATCTCTCTGCACTTGAAATGTATGGTCCTAAACCCCTGAAGAAGCAATTTGTTTATTTTTTTCATCTCTTGTGTAGTTGTACTTTCTTATCAGTTGAATCTTTGCTGAAACAGTTGTTTCTTCTGCTCCATCACAATGAAGTGATGTAGGGGAATGTAGGTGCTGTCTTTGACTGCAGTTCCTTAAGTCTTAAGTTTCTTCAAAACTGAAACTTACAAAAGGGTTCTGGCTCTTTTGAAGCCGTCTGACAGAATTCTTACATGCAATTGGGGTCAAACTTTCACATAAAACTTTATAATGTTATTGGATATAATCATAGGTGAAAAATAGGGATAAGACTCTACTGCTTAAAAATAGATACTTGCCATGAATTGCAGGGGCAGAAATGTAATCCTTCTCAGTTTGGGGCCCAGTATGCAGGCTCCTGAGCTCTGCTCTGCTGTTAGTGGAAGCTGACCGCGGTTTCGTATGTGAAGGTGAAGAAAGATGTGCCCTTGCAGTGCCATTGCTCCATGCTTGTTGACTTCTGTACCACCCCCTGCACCTGGGCTGGTTAAGGTTCAAACAAATTTTAGAAAGGAAATGTTTCACTTAAACCTTGTTGTACGTATTCTGCAGAAGTGCCAACACTGATGTTGATGGAGGAGCTTATGTTGCTAACTTAGCATACAAGTTCTTGTAAAGGCAGTCAGCAAGAGAAATGATTTTAGATATGTAATGGGCCATGCTAAGCCATATGCAGATTTATTTTTTATTTTTTTACAAGTCTAAAATACCTTAAACATTCTTTATTAAACAAAACAACCAAAACAATTTGCTGGTTTCTTAGGTGTTTTTTTTTCTTCTTCCTTTTTTTTTTCTTTTTATCTTTTTTTTTTTTTTTTTTTTTTTTTGCTATTTGTAGCTTATTTTCTTATGGTATTTTTCTTGTCTTTCTATAGGGCTGAAAGACACACAGGAGACTTCATGGATATAGTTGATACATTTAACCATTTAATTCCTACTGAACACTTAGATGATGCCCTATTTCTAGGATCCAACCTGGAGAATGAAGTCTGTGAGGATTTTAGTACAAGTCAAAATGTCTTAGAGGATTCGCTGAAGAACATGCTCAGCGATAAGGATCCTATGCTAGGATCTGCAAGTGCCCAGTTCTGTTTGCCTGTTTTGGATAGCAATGATCCCAATTTCCAGATGCCTTGTTCAACAGGTAAATCTTATAATTTTTTAAGATTACAATTTAAAATACATTAATACTGTAGTGCCAACCCTTTTTCATAAGGTAGAAATAATAATTTGGGATTTCTGTCTCTTTCCTGCCCCTTTTGTTGTGCTGCTTACATGCCTGGCATGTAAAACATGCATTTTTTTTAACTTGGTCGCTTAACAACAGGGGAAAGTTCCTAATCTGGGTCAAAATTAATCTAGGCTTTGACTTGAATCTGTGTAAATTATTCCCAATTAGAGTTTGATTTCTTTAGCATAAGAACTATGTCTTATTAGTGAAATTGTTAGTTGTCTTCAAAAATTTAATAGTGCAGGATTACCAAGAGGCGTGTTTGAGGAATACAGCTTCTGTTACTGCTCTGACCTCACGGTTATTCTGTTAGTGCTAGGAGTTGTAGCATGGAGTTGATACTGGGTGTTTTGCTTTGGTTGGCTTCAAACAATTCTTTATTATGGTTTGGAAACACCTGAGTTGGAACTGATTTAGAGCACAGCTTTTTAAGTAAAAATCATTTAAGGAATTGTGGAGCAGTTTTAGAAGATGGATGTGGGTGGGGAACAAAACTACAATCCAGTTCCTAAGTTATTTATAGTGTGAATAGTTGGAATAATTACTCTGAATTTACTGTAACGGGTAAAAAGGTACTCTTTGCTTAATAGGGTTTTTCGTTTGTTTTTGACAGGAAGGTTTGTTTGTTTGTTTCTTAAATTGGGTTCATTACTGAAAAGTGTTGTAGATTAGTGCATATAACTTATATCAGCATTTCATTTTCTTCTGGTAGCTTTTGTGAATTGTTTCTGAAAATCTTGACAATTTTGTAGTATAATATGTTTTGTTTCTACTAACAGACTGAATTCTCACCTTTGTTAAATCAAGCGGTATTTTGGCATGGAAAACTGTAAATTAAAGATGCTACTCATTAGGGCAATGACAAAGTGAGCTACAGAAACCAAGATATTTGATCTTTTTACTGCTTTAATACAATATGGTTTGAGGCCATCTTTAATGTTCTTGTTTATTCTTGTAATAGTCCATGTGCTTACGCTTTGTCTTTAACCTACCAAACAAAATTATATCAGTTGTAATGTGCATAAGACTGCAGTGTACACAGTTAAACCAATCTTCCTCTCTGTTTATTTCCATCCAGTAAAACAATGATGTGAGTTCTTGTTTCACAGAGCCACAACTGTGTATCCTTCTATAAACCTATACTGCATTTAAAATTTTTGAATTAACTCATAGGGTACAGCTGGATATTTGAGAAGTTACAGGGAGATGTTTGGGGACTTTTTGGCAAACTAGCTGGATATTTCTCTAAAAAGTGGAGTAATTAACAGTATTGATATTTAAATAATCACAATTAACTTTTTAAAGTTATTTTTTTTAAGCTTGCTGTCTGTTAAAATAAATGAGCAAGCTCATTAATTGTGGCTATTCAGGCTGCATACAGGCTCAGAGAATCAAAACTGGTATAACTTCTTCATGGTTACTGAATTTATTTTTTAAATATAAAAGCAAGACTCAAACCATGTTTCAGTATGTAAATAAAAACATACAATTTGCAATTAATGTCATAGTGATCCAAAAGGATGTGCTGTGTTCTTGCTGTTGCTTGTTCTTTATAGGTCTTGTTAAGAAGGTCTTGTCTTTATTCTGAGATGGTAGGACCCCAATATTTTTCTATCAGTGGTGTTTTTTTTTTTTTAAGTTGAGAATAACAGCCATCATTTTGAAGCAGTGTTTCTTTGTTTGTCCTTATTCCTCATGATTTATTTGATTTGTGTTAGAGTTGGTGATCTAAGGCAACGTAGATAGTCTGCTGGTAAGAATGCAGTGACAGAAGATGATAATACCCTTTGTAAGAACTGATGATAGAAAGGCTGATATTTCCAAAATGTATGCATGAAAGCTCCTCTCTGCTCCAATATCATTTTGTTTGGGGAAGAGAACCCAACAGTTCTCCCTACAAAACTTGCCTTGCTTATATCCTTAGATCTGTAACACCTTTGGTGTTTCATACAGTGTAGTTTGCTGTATTATTATTCATTCATTTTTTGGTGTTTTTTTTTTTTTCCTCTTTTGTGTAGGATATCACCACAAATTTAATCTGTGTTGCATTAAGCAGTATGGTTACGGAACGGTTGGTTGTTAGCCCTTTTATCCTTAGGATAAATTGGTAAAAACAAATGTATAGTAAAACCTTACAAAAAGAAAAAGTTATGTTAACCTGGGCACAACCTAGGAAATACTGTTTTTTTGTGGGGGGGGGGGGGGGAGTGGGAAGTCTGTGGTGGTGTTCTGGTTTTCTTTTTTCTTTTATTTTTTTTGATTTCTTTATTTATTCTTTAAGCTGAAATGTTAGATGGCTGTGATTCTCACTGTCAACTCTGCAGGGGACAGCAGTTGTTTGGGCTCCTGAAGATGAACCATTTTTTCTGCAGAGGCAGAAATTTTTGTATTTATTGTTATTTATTTTAGACCTACAAACAGTATCTTGCAAAACACTTATCAAGACCATGGAACAGTTTAAGAACGGGAGCAAAATCCTTTTGAAAATCAGCTCAGAAGGCCAGCAAAGGACAGGCTTAGCATGGTTGCTGGTCCATGAATAGCTGAAATGTCCTGTTTTGTCCAGTTTTTAAAGTGGTGAAAATTTCTTTGTGTTCTTCTGCTGTGCAAATTTCATGCTATCTTCTTCTGTGGGTAAGCTGAAGAGATAAAAGTATATAGTTGGACTGAGGTGATTTGGCTGAAGTGGAATTAGGTCTGACAGGTGAATCAAAGGAGCTGAGTGCATGGCTCACTGATACGTGGAAGCTTGTTTTGAGCAAAGAGTTCAAGAGTATTTGTAAACCTGTGCACAAAGCAAGATGCTGACTTCAACCAGGAGACCTTGCACCACTTCACTATAAGGAGGATATTGAGTTGCTTGAGTGTGTGTGGAAATAGCAACGAAGCTGGGGAAGGGGAAAAGAGGAGTTGAGAGGAGCGGCTGAGCGAATTGGGGTTGTTTAGTCTGGAGAAGAGGAGGCTCGGGAGACCTCATTGCTTTCCACAGCTACCTGAAAGGAGGTTGCAGTGTTGGTCTTTCTTTCTCAGGTGGCAAGTGTTAGGGCTTATATTGAACATGAGGAAATGGTCTCAAGTTGTTCCAGGGGAGGTTTGGATTGGACATTAGAGAGAATTTCTTTGAGGAAAGGGTGGCCAAGCATTGGAACGAGCTGCCCAGGGAAGTGGTGGAGTCCCCATCCTGGGAGGTATTCAAGGGACTTGTGGACATGACACTAAGGGATGTGGTTTAGTGACGGGCCTTGTAGGTCAGGTTGATGGTTGGACTTCATGATCTTGGAAGGCATTTCCAGTCTAGGTGATTGTATGATTTTGTTTAAACGTGAGCTTTTCATGTGCAAATGGTACATTTTTGTGGCAGGAGGACTGGTGTAAGGCCTGCATAGCAGTATATCAAGTTTCTCAGAACTAACAGCCTTTTCTCTGCTTTACTTTGGAGATTAGAGCTTTTTGGCTCTCAGTTACATCAGTCTTAAGAACCCCTTCTTTATTCTGGCTCTTAACTTGTTTTCACCTGTGGGTCTGTGTTCTGCCCTTTCTCTTACTGTTGGGTTGACGTAAGTTCTTGATGAGCGTTGTTCACAGGCCTAACCCAAAGTCATTACTCATCAGTATTGCATCTGTCTTGCTCAGCATTAGGATTTATATTGCACGCCATTCACCACGAACTAAGCTTTTTGTTACTGCTGAGTTCTTTCAAAGGTGGTGATCTGACTGGATGTGATGGGTACTGGTAGCAATTGGTTTACATCCCTATGCACTTTTCTATTTGACAGAACCACATAGACTTCTGTGAGCTGAGGTTTGATTTCCATCACTGTTGGTTGGAGGCATTTCCACAGAAAATGCACAAACTGCTTTGTAAATTGGATTACATGTAATTGTCACAGGGAACATAGCAGCATCATAGTCCGCAGTACCAGTATATGACAGATAGCGAGGAGCATGAAAATAGATGTCTGTTGCCTGTGTATTGATATGAGGAACTGTATCAGTGCCAGTAAAGCAGTCTCATGTTCGTGTCTTGGCCTGAATCCAGCTTTATGCTGGATCTAATTTTTTTGTTAGATGACATTATTGATCTTTGTCTGCTCTATGAGCTTGCTCTGTAATTACCACTGAGAAATAGAATGGAATTGTCTCGTTCAGCTTTGACTGAACAGTTGAATATTCAGAGAAGACAAAATCCTTTCCAGATCTGTTAATGCTTTTGAGCAGAGATGGAAGTAACTTTTCATGACTTTTTTTTCCAAGCTGGAGAGGGTATGGGTCAAATTAACAGCTGTTATGCTGAAATCCTTTTAGGATGTGTTTGTGAGAAGTGACTGCTAAATTGTGAAGATGTGGTTGGGTTGCTGGTTTGTGGGATTAGATGGTGCAGATTGCTGCTCGTGTAGAGCAGCTGGGAAATTTTCTGTTATTTCAATGAATCAAGGCACAACCTATTTGCAGATCTCAGGAGCTTAGCAGTAATGGAAGCGGTTTACTGTCCTGAAGTAGGTATTGGCAGTGAGACCTAGTGGCATTAGTGGAAGTTGGTGCAACTGCTGACTTTGCCAGATAAAAGACAGAATTTGACAAAACGAGGTTTTCAAAAATTAAATGAAACACAAGCTTTTGAAATACTCAGAGGTGTCCCATACCATGTTTGAGGTGTCTCTGTTTCCCTTCATCAGTATGGTAAGGTGTTTATTCTCCAAAGAGCTGTGTGATCAACACAGGTAGATTATGTGGAATAGCTCCAGGCTGTCTTTGATATTTGGATGGTGCGTGTGCATGCTTTTTGTTGTTTGTTTGTTTGTCTTTTCCTTCTGATCCTTTTTCTTTAATCAGAAATGGAAAATGTGAAGTTAAGAATATGACTTAGCTCTTCAGAGCAACACCTTTATTCAGACTTGGTACTTTAGTGATGGGGGGTGTTCTGTTTCATTCTGTTATTTCTTGCTGTAAGACAAGCTGGAAATTTATACACTAGTCTTATAAGTTTGAGCATGGCAGGTCAGGCCGAAACCCCTGGTAGCTGAGATCATATGGTTTCCTTCACCACAAATCCTGTGGTGATTTGCCACCAAACTGTGAAGATTTGTCTGACTTCTGGTCAACAGCCCCAGATTTGGGATTTTCCTCTTCCCTTGTTTTATTCATTATATTTGTGTCTGTGTCTGTATATATGCACACATGCATATATATGCCAAAATCAAACTAAGTAAGCAGGATTCGTACTAACTGGGCATTTCTCAGCTCTCATAAATTCTGTAGCTTTCCAGGTTGTTATTCACTGGAGCAGTGTGATTTTATTATATGTGTAGTAGATGGTATGGCATTTGAATTGCGTATCATCTAGAGATGTTTCTGGATTTCATAGCAAAATTAAACTTTTAGCAGTGTATTTTATGTTTATCAAATCAGATATTTTTTTAATAAATGATGAAGACTGGCCCTATAAGAGTGTAAAAAGACTGTTGGGGATATATCTTAAATTGCAATTTTTTGTTTCCCGTGCTTCTAGATTGCTTCTTGAAAAGGGTTTCCCCTGAGTGCAGTCTACTCTTCCCAGTTTTACCCTATGTGTTCATGAGTACTGTTAAAAGCAGCATTACTTCTGCTAAAACTGTGATCATCTACTAAATCTTTGGAGCCAAAATGATTTTTCTGACTACAAATACTTTTTTTTTTTTTCTTGTAGCTGTTTTCTGTTTTAGGCACTTTATGCTCGTTTCACTAAAATCAAATGTACATCTATTTTTTCTACCTGCTTATGAAGTGATTTTGAATATAACTTCTCGATTGCAGCCCCAAATGCTTTATGGTTTCTCAGCATTCTTACCTCTTTCTGCCTTCCTTCCTCCAAGCTGTCCCTGTGAACAGTTGCACAGTGTCTTGTGACCAAGGTAGTAACCTTTCTGTATAAAATTTAAATTTGTTATGTTGCTGTCATTCTGAGAACATGGAAAATGTTTATTTTGCATGCATTTTGTCTGTAGGTAACAAACTGCCAGTTTTCCCCACTGTACGTTTTTCTGAAGACTTAGTTATTTCTTTGGATCAGTTCTGTGCATGGAGGGAGGTTGGGTCTTTAGCGCTAATTTACAACAGTGCAGAACAGGAATAGTGGAATGTTATTCCATCTGGTTAGCTAAGCAAAAGAAAACCAGAGCTGGTATCTACAGGAGAACTGTAGTTCTACACTTGAAATTTACCTTGACCAGTGTGTCAAAAATCTGAATATTTTTGTATAATTTTGGCTAAAGATAATCAAGGGAAGACATATGTTAATAATATTTATATATTTAAAAGATTTTGATGATATTTTAGGTGTTTTCTTCTCCTTCCCTCCCCTTCCTCCATCAAGTAAGGCTTGTTTTCTTCAATTATATATCAATGAAGAAATAAAAATTTGTCACAGTTTTGTTTTAACACATGGAAAGTTCTACTTTAAAAGTGCAAATATTTTTAATGTGTTCTTCTGTTATTGTTTGACATGTATGAAAAGTGAGACAGTAGCCTGGAAATTTAAATACTTTGCAGATAACAGACTCAATATATTAAGATGACAGCCAGTGGTGGTGCTTCATGCATATATATTTGTATACATATAAATATAGGTCACAGTCTCTCTCTATGTATTTTCCTTCTTTGCAGCTTTTTCAGTTGTATGCAGTTCTGATGTTTTTTCCCTTCCTCCTATATGATTATTTATCACTTATACCTCTGTCTTAATTTCTGTAGATATTATTGCTAATATCATCTCTATCCTGTTCTGTTGTTTTCATTATCAGTATCTCTTTCTGTTTTATTTCTGTCTGTTTCTGCTTTTGGTGGTTTTGTCTTTCCACATTCCTACCTCTACCTCCATTTCCTTTCATAATTCAATGTTCCAGTCTCCTCCTCTGTATCTATTACTATTCCTTGTCACTTTTTCCTTTCCCAGCAGGGTTCTGTGTTGACTTCTTCTCATCCCGCCTCATGTGGCTGTAATAGCCGAGTTGTAGCTCAGGTCGTTTGAAATAAACAAGATTCTGTGCTTCAAATTCATCCATAAATTAAAGCTACAGCACAGAGTCTTGTAAGTATGAAAATACTTTAATTCTGATATTTCAAACTGTCTGTCAATAGTAGACTGAATGTGTCCCTTGTGTTAATGAAGGGGGTGTGTAAATGAATTAACTTGTGCAAGAGCATGTAAAACATGAGGCTTTAATGAGCTGTGAGATCAGCTACAGAACTGTTTCAGAAGTTGTCTGAGTAGTTTTTATTCTTCGTGTTATCTTCAGTAGTTAGTGTAGTTCTACGCCAAGGAGTCAGAAGGGTCACAGGCTGTTCCCTCACACCAGCTGCACGTTCTGTAGGAATGCTGTTGTAATAAGATGGCTCACACCAAGTGCGGAGCTGTCGGAAGGATCTAATCATGTAATCTTTCAGAACACAGGAAGGGTGGCCTGAGTTAGGATGAGGATCCATCTTGTTTGGTGTCCTGTGTTGGACAATGGCCAGCATTACATATTTAGGGGAAAATGAAGTCTGACAGGGCAATTAGTGGTCATATTTTCCCCAGTATGTAGCTTGTAGCAAATAAGTAAGTGATGAAGAAACATTTGGATGAGTGGACTGACGCTAGATTTATCAGTCTTGTGCAGCTGGTGTGTGATATCTGTGTACAAATAACCCATAAGATAGCTCTGTGGATTGGGAAGAGAAAGCTGCCAGTAATTGCCAAAAATATACATTTCCTCTAACTGGGGCATACAATGCAGTAACTAAATAATATGGTTAAAATAAAATGAGTGACAGTACGTTGTTAGCTGAAGAAACTCCTAGCTTTCAGCTCCTGACAGCTGTTTAGTACAGAGGACCAGAATGAAGTCACTGGTGCCAAGCTCAGCCTTACTTTTAGAAAGATTTTAAACAGCCTCATATTTGATCTTTAACAGGTGTTTCTGTTAAATCTGTCATGTGACTGTGGGTTGAATGACAGTCTAGACTTGATTATTCATCACTGCTTGGCTTTAGCAGTGTTTTAACAGCTCCTGTTTTTCATTACTCTATGCTCATTATTACAGTGGCTTCACAAGGGAACTTCTATTTAAGTTGTGAAAACATCCGAGTTGAAGCAGACAGGTTTTCAGAGGCAAGCTGAAGATTTTTAACAATTCTTAATTTTATTATCTTCTTGTTTTGGTTCTAAGATGAATATATTAAAGCAATTTTAAGAAAATAATTGTTAGAAATTTTTAGAGATCTTATTTCTGTTGTGTAGTTAGTTTGCCTTAAAAATGGTGGAGTTTGGTGCTGGGATAGTGAAGAATAGGCTTACTTGATTGTTTTGGAGTCTGTGTGTATTTGTCAGACCCTTCTACATGTCTTATAAAATCACTTGGGTGTTTGGCCTGATCTCACAAATTTCGCATCCTACAGGGACCGGATTCATTAATCACACATAGGATCTTGGGATAGGAGAGGCTACCATTGCAGAACCAAACTTAGAGAAAGTGAGGAGAATGGCTGGTACAGTGGCCTGACTGCCTCTTAGGAAACCTATTTTCAGGAGGCAACCTCTGGGATCCTTCTCAGGTTAGTGGAGGATAGGAATTCGACAACGTTCTCTGATTCTGGCTGGGAGACTAGTGCATGCTGCACTCCGTGCCCTTCCAAAACTGGGTTGCAGATGGAGATACGTGAGGTGGGTGGGACTTTCAGTTTTAAAATTGTGTCCTATGAGAAAACTGTGATTTTTATATTCATTCCTCTTCTGGATCAGCTCTTTCTACTGTTTACCTTTCTTCACTTTTTCTCAGGTGGGAAGGGGCAGTGAGGGACAGCTGATCCTCTAAGACTGTGGACCTTCTTGTGCCAAAATAAAAAAACAACAAAAAACAAAACCAATAAAAATGTGAGTCCACCAAAAGCTGTAAGGACTATCTACAGAAATTTTAAGCTTTGGGTGATAGCTTCTTCTACACTGAAACTGCCTCACGTGGGAATTTTCTGTCCTGCCTTTCTTCATTTTTTTCCTTTTTGTTTGTTTTTAGATGGCCAATTTATTTATTTTTCCCTGTTTCTTCCCCCACCTTACTCACCCTTACAGTCGCAACACTTTTTGTTCCTTTTAAGTTTTAGGATCTTTCTTGTTTGTTTGTTTTCCCAGTTATCGGTCTTGATGATATTATGGATGAAGAGGGAGTTAAAGAGAGTGGAAATGACACCATCGATGAAGATGAGTTAACTTTACCGAACAGGAATTTGAGGAGTCGTTCAGAAGAAACGTCAGTCGTGTCACCAAGAAAGTCACCACGTTTAATGGCACAAGGTGATCACTCAATATGGGATGTATGTTTTTGCACATTCAAGATCAACTAAATATTTATAATCCCTTCCTAATATTCATAAATGCCAAGTATTTGTTAGTAGTTGGTTGTGTGGAGTACAGGCGTTTCCTTTTTTATGTCTTTTTTTTTTTTTTATAAACGGGAGCCAGAGATTGGCATCAGTAGGGTGCTATTCAATTTGAATTCCTCTATAACAAATACTCTTCCTTATGACCTGTGGTTCTCAAACATGTTTTTAAACTTTGTTCCTTTTACCTAAATCAGATTTGCACTGTGGTTCTTTAACACAGCCATGCTGTATTTTCAAACAGTATTGGAGAATTAGGTTAGCATGGCTCTTTATTTCCAATTAAAATTTTTAATTCTGTTTGTTCTTATTTGTGTGTATTCTTTTTGTTTTAAAGTTACAGTAATTGCACTTGTAAAGTCTTTCATATAGATATCTCAACATGCTTAACAGTTATTTCACATATTTAAATTGTGATAGCTGATTGTATATAATCAGGGTTTTTTTAAACTTCTTGAACAGGTGGAGTTACTGACAGCTCTACTTTGTCCCCAAAGAGTAGGCCGAGTTAAGATAAAATTAATAGGGAAATCAGAATTTAAGAAAGAGCCTATGTTACAAAGCTGGTGAATACACTTTTAAAAGGCACTTAAATTTGATTATTACTTATCTTTTACAACAATCAATCTGTCATTAAGTGAGAATGTGACTGGATTTCAGATTCATATACTGTGTTCTCTAAAAACTTTGTAAAATTTGCATTTATACTTATCACAATATAACTTTATGCAATTTTTACTTAAAGTAGAAAGAGTAGAAAAGGTTGAGTGCTAGAAAAGTTGAGTGGATTTTGTCTTTTTTATTGTGAGAGCTACTTCTGTTTTTTCATATATTGTTCAGAGCTTTAGTAGCCATAAAAGTAACGATTTTTTTCCATTCAAACTGTTTTTTTATTTTCTCTAAGTTTAATTAACTAAGTTTCAAAGTTCTTTTTGTGTCCAGTAAGGTAAAGTAGGCTCAATCACTTCTATTCTAGATTAGTCTTGTGTTTGCATATAGCAGTACATGGTATAGCTAAGACACTTTCTCTTTACCTTCATAGAACCAGTACGGAGTTTGCGACAGAGCACACTGGCCAAGCGTTCAAATGTTGCACTCCTGTCAATACCAAGAATCATCTGTAAAAAGTGGATCTGCC